ACACGGCCAAATGGGTCAAAAGAAGAGTCACATAGTTTCGCAAAGTTACGCTGGTCTCGTTTTAATGTCAGTGGTCTTTACAGTTTCTTACTCAAGTCCAGCGAATTCCGTTTGTAAAAAGAAATAAATCAAGTGCGACTTCTGAATGCCTAACACAACGGTGACATCTGTGCTTGGAGTAAAGATTATCAGAAAAGATGACAGTAAACATGACCATGGCATTCAAAACAATGAAACAGGACACCTTTGGACACTTAATTTACTGTGTTCCCACCTTCAGGGAGTGCACTTCTGAGTTGTTCAAACTGATTGCACCTCTCATTGTCTTCCGCTTCAATTCAACTCGTCCAAGCGCACAAGCGCCCTGCCCTTCACTCACACCTGAAACGCGAAGCTTAGGTGTGGTCACATCAGGCCGCGATCGGTCGAAGCTTAGGTGTGGTCACATCAGGCCGTGATCGGTCGAAGCTTAAGTGTGGTCACATCAGGCCGCGATCGGTCGAAGCTTAGGTGTGGTCACATCAGGCCGCGATCGGTCGACGCTTAGGTGTGGTCACATCAGGCCGCGATCGGTCGAAGCTTAGGTGTGGTCACATCAGGCCGCGATCGATCAAAGTTAAGGTGTGGCCACATCAGACCGCGGTCGGTCGAAGCTTAGGTGTGGTCACATAAGACCGCGTTCGGTCGAAGCTTAGGTGTGGCCACATCAGACCGCGATCGATCGAAGCTTAGGTGTGGTCACATCAGACCGCGATCGGTCGAAGCTTAGGTGTGGTCACATCAGGCTGCGATCGGTCAAAGCTAAGGTGTGGTCACATCAGGCCGCGATCGGTCGAAGCTTAGGTGTGGTCACATCAGGCCGCGATCGGTCGAAGCGTCCGACGCATAGCGGCAAGCACATCAAACACGCTGCCATGGAATGTAAACATATATTTGAAGAGCAGCCCAGCCCTCATCACCCCAACGCCCCAAACCTCACCGCCTGGTCTATACGCGTCTGCTTGCCATTCGTCGACGGCAAAATAGTTGGAAGAGTAAGTGGGGTAATCCGGGGATCTCAGTGGGGTAATTCGGGGAGCTCAGGTATCTGTTAGGGTGGCTTAGTTCATTTCAGCGCCTCGCAGTGAAACAAAACCCTGTGCCACCCTACTCATCAAGCCTACAACGATTCCAGAGCTGTACCTATGGCGTATCAGGTAAATGCGAAATGAAACATGTGGCATGCAAAAACGCAGGCAGGCTTTGCGAAATGGAAGGGCGTGGCAGGTTTTGCGTGGGCGACAACGATACTGTCGGGTATTGTTCCAGCGAATCGATCTAGAGTACACCGCCGACGCAGTCTTGGCACGCCGAGGGGGGGGGGGGGGGGGGGGGGAGGGGAGTATCGCATCGATACAGCGATGCCGAGAGCGTCCTCATCTTGTCATGCGGTTAGTGGAAGTACGTTGACCCCAGATATTAGAAACATTATTTAGTTGCAAAACATTTTGAAGCTAGTCATGGGGTCGCAAATCCCACTTTATTGGACATTGTAAGCAGTGGCGGTCATCTTTTACGCCAACGCAGCTCATCATTTATCGTTATCATTTTAATTTAAGTCATTTGCCGTTTCTGGTCTGTTTTTGTCATGTCACTCGTTTTTTCCAGGACGTTTCCGCTGCCCTGGGGGTGTCAAACCTGGACATGACTGCGTCAAAGCTATCTAATGGAACCGGACTTGGTGCTAGGCAGCAACACCAAATTTTCACGTTCGGTCTCCGCGTCCAGTTTGATAATGGCCGAGGTCATGTACTTTAAAACTCAGGCTGTGCTAGTCATACTTGAGTGGGGAGCATGCTAATGTAGTGCAGTAGACTTGCCCAAGATTTCTGAGCCTCGGAAAAAAACAAAAAATAAAGACATATTTCCTTGCAAACAATGCTTGCAAGTTTGCAAGTTTGTAAATAAAGTTTTACGTCGAAAATAAAACCACCAATAAAAAGTTGAATACTTTATACAGAACAAAAGTTGCATGCCCTGCAAAAGCTTGTGTCGGGTATCAAAAAGCTCTTAGTTTGACCCAGCCTGCGTTTGGATGACCTGATCCTCTAAAAGTAATCAGAGCGATAATGATGTACTTCAGAGTGATACAGATAAAAAAGCAGCTCAGATAACCTATTTCGAGTGATTTTCCTGCAAGAAATAGACGCTGAAATGTCACCGACATTAACTCGAGAAAGAGATTATGATCACGAGCCGTCAAAGTTAAAATCTACACATGTTCGAATGCAAACAACAAAGTTAGCTCAAGTATCCAGAGCTTAAGCGTCGTGCTCAAAACTATTAATGATTTGTGCTAGAAAAAGCGGACGGGAGGCCTCTGGGGTGCCTTTCGTGGGGCGAGTGTTAATCACACGAAATGCACTAAAAAAATGAGATCGGGAGCCGGTACAATTAGTCATAGACAAATAATATGTATTGAATGCGATCGCACAATCTTGTACACGATCACGGGATATTTGTTTGGCTCCACCCCTGTCAATAGTCTGCCGAATGGCCATGCCTGGCTTTAAACGAATGCGGCAGCATGCACATCTCTTAGGACCTGACTAGACTTCGCTGTCGTATGGTAAGACAGCATACACAATTTTTAAAGGTTGGCTCCCGGCCCAAAATGCCTGTCAGCAGATTCCCCGTGTTTTGTGCCGGCGATATGGGACATTTTCCCCACATCTGTTGGCTGAGCCGGCGCGATGTCCGGATATTGCCAGTTGATTGGGTTACGCTGGGAGCGCCCAGTGTCATTCAGCGTCACCGAAGGCAGGGGGCGGGAGCGGAGACGGGCGGTCGGCTGACGCGAGCTGGCGTATATTCATGAGCGACGCGCGGCGGCAGGCAGCGCCACATGTCGCTTCCGTGCCCAATTACCGCGCAACTTGTCTGTGTTGCATTTGAATGAGACGGGAAGAAAACCTACGAGCTGTCTATAGAGGGTCTAATTTACTGGCCTGATCAGAATGTTTGCTGAGTGCGGATGCGAGGCTCCCAGGACGTGAGCGGCATGCTCCAAGACCCTGCTGTCCTTTTGCCAGCTGTTCTAAAATATTACACGTGACACTGGGTAAATGGATTACCATTCTGCGTCAGCCTTCGCGATAAAAAACATCGACTCTTCGCAATGCGTCTTGTTTATCGTTAGGCAAAGGATGGTGTATTTCTTTCGAAATCTTTCTCCTTACACGGTAGGGAACGATATAGAATGTCAACGCATCTTGTTGGACCACACAATCCATTCCAGTTGACGTATTCATGTCTAGCTGCATCGCGCATGGGACATGTAAGGATTGAAACCTCCAAATATGTTGTCTCACGCGTTTTTATTGAATTTCATGCTCAGAAGTGATTGTGTGATCGATATGTGGGTTTTCGTGCTTTATTTTGATTTAAATTGAAAATCATTGACTGGGAAGTTCTGCTAAAAAAACGGACCTTATAAGAATTATACTAGTGATATCTGAGCATAACCACTTAATTACATAATTTTGTGATACCTGACCAATTTTTTAAAACCATTCGGAACAGCCACTTTCAATCCATCGTGTGTTGCGAAGGAGTTATGCGAAATGATATCGAGTTGTGCCCTTTAAAAGACATGTATGTGTAATTACACAAATTATGATATTCAATATAATATGATATAATATGATATTTAATATAAATAAAAAATATGATATTAAATATAGTATGAATATGAATGCGTTTGTGAGTAATAATAGAAATAGAAATTTAAGATCGAAAGGTATTTCGACCACTGGTTCATCCACCTCTGGCTGCTGTCGTTCACCCGGTTAATTCCCGTGGCCAGGCGGAAATAACGGAGAGAAATTTTCTCGACACCCAGCGCCTCACAAATGGCAACAGTCGCGATACACCCGTGCACAAAATCAAAGCTCAAGATCTGAATTGTGTATGAAAGATTTTAGGCTAGCCACGCTTTATTTACGCATAAATTGTCTGTTGACTTTATGCCGGCTCATATCCAAGGGTCTCGTGAGGGCTTTTCAAAAAAGTTTATGGCGAATATCTCGCGCCCAAGCCCCTTTAAGCCAGGAGCGTGGTTTCCCAAAATAAGTTCGGGAGGTGCGTGAGCATTGAAAACTGGCGCATCCTACCCCGAAAATCCTCCCCCAAAATGGGTTTCTGCCCGGATTTGGACCGCCTTCTTCTTAAAATTGGGGAGGGGCTCGAACCCCCTTCCAACGGAACTGCAAAATGCATCCCTGCTTTAAGTTCAAAAACATTATTAGCTGACGCCGACGGGACCAACGAAAATACCACATGACATTTGGGGAATGGTTGACCTGTGTACAGGAGTTTGAACAAGGTTATTATATACTGTTACGTGAGCACGAACAACTCTGTGTAAAGCGGAAGATGTTTTACTTCCGTCGCCTACGTTTACGGACTTACGTAGTTTGGGCTCAGTTGGGGTCTGGCGTTATGCAGTTTATTGTTTTGGGTTGAAATAGTGATCGTTAAAGGTTCATGAGGACAACGCTACTTGACTTCAGGCATTATGTCGGACTGGATTTATAGAGGGCCAGTGACATTATAGGTGCTTTGTTTTATTCACTGAGTTGAATTCCAACCAATTTCATCGATACGCTCACTGATTGTCTTGGGAATGACCTCCCGACGGGACTTGAAGAACCCAGTGATGGGGAAATGCATCACTTTGTTCATCAACTTGAACTGTGGTGATTTTCATGAAAAATCCGGATGTTTTCGCGGACTTCATCATGCCTCTTTATACAAATAGACAGACGTTTATTAGAATAGACAGACACTCACTGTCCAACAACAGACATTTTACATCAAGCCTCCATTACCGCACTATATGAAGCCTCCATTACCGCACCGTGTCGTGATATTCCGCCACGAGATGGTGCGTCGCTGACGGAGCATCCGCCTCTGGCGCGATCCGTGCCGCGCCCTGACCGCGCGCCGGCCCGGTCCGGCAGCGCTCGCCGGCGGCGTCGATCGGAATGACCGGTCGCGGGACTGCGCCCTGGCGCGCGTCAAGCCCTGCGTCGACCGGCTGCTGCAGCTGGCCAACGACAACGTACTGGTGCACGCCACCAACGAGACTCTGCTGGACGACGTCTGCACGTGAGTCATGCGGCAGCCGCGCCCCTCCGACGTCTGTCCGAGCGCATTAGGAAACTGTACGTGCCGTGCCGGACCCGTGCCGCTCGCCGTTTGCTTCCGCTCCGCGTCGGGTCACGCTTCCAGTGGGGCAGCGTGGCGGGTCACGTCAGTGCGGGGTTGTATATCAGTTAACCGCCGCCGGGCGGGAGCTTTTCTCCGCCGTATCTCCGCCGCGTCGGGCCCATGGTTTGATGAGTGCACCCCTCGGTATTTTGCCACTATCTGAGTTAGAACCACAAAGCAAAGCAAACAGCAACCGGCTGACAGCCTGGTGCCTATGAAATGTGATGATGCCGGATATGACCCCTTTAAACAAATTTAGCGATGTGTACGTCGATATTAAATTATTTAGGCGTGCCGAAATGCATGACGTTTTATGTTAAGTACCAATTTTGAATTTGCTGTGGTTGTATGGAGAAAACGTTATTGCCATGTTTCATTTTGATGTACATATTTCAACATTTTAACATATTTGTTTGTGTCGTCAGCGCTCATTTACCTAGCGAAATGACTTCACGTCGGCCTCCTGAACGCAAACACGCGTATGCAAATTATGTAGGATGCCCCGTGCAGGCAGCGCCTGCTGTCTTGCAAACGGCCTATCCAGCCACAGGACGCAGAAAGGGCGGGCTTACATCTATAGCTCCCAGATCACAATGATTGCGACAACGACGGCAATCTGTGTGAATGACAACAATCCAAATGTGCGATAATTTTCGACAATTCTTTCCAGATGGCGAATGCTTGGCCTATTATTTGCGCGTCATCATGTCATGTCAAGTGTCATCTCTAGTGAAACACACCGAACAAAAGTTTATCATTCCAAATAAACAACTCCAGATCACCGGAAGTGTCACCATTCTTGTGCCTTTTTCCTCCATGATGCTTATGGATGAGAACGCTGCAGTAGGGGAAGTCCGACCGCGTGATACTTGCTTCCTATTGTGTTATTATTACGCCGAAACTTAACACGCGCCCGGGTGGCCGGTTGGATACCCTTCGCTCGGACGGGGGTCAGTTTGACCCCCTGAGATCTCGGGAATTAAGAGAGCTAAAAACACAAAATTCACAGAATGTGTTGACCTGTACGTGAATTTTCTTAGATCAAAGTTTTCATGCCCTAGGTCATGACCTTTAGGTCAGATAAGGTCAAACAAGGTCAATTTCCAGATTGGTCTCCAAAGGGCCCCTAGAACCTAGGCAACTGTTCGAAGCAAAATGTCATACGCTCAATTAAGGTTAGCGACCATGTTTGACCTTAAAAAGGTTATGATGACCAAAATGATGTAAGACTGTCTTGAGTTTTGCATTTGGATAAGCGACAAAGATAACGCTAGGCGGTATGTTCATAAAAAAACAAAAGGTTGACCTGAGTCATTTTAGGTCAGTGACGTGTTCCAGCTTTAAGAAGTCCATGCAAGGTCTGTAATGCGGTTCCTGCTATCAATGTACTGAAATGAGCTTTAGAAGCAAACCCATACAGCAAACCTGAGAGCAATAAAACAGGCTGGTCTTGACCTTGGTCTGACCTTTATGCCTGACCCTAGTTCAATGCTATTTGTTGATTCAATTGTTGTGTTACCTGAGAAAGTATCTCAGAGTTGTCTGGCTTCGTCTAACACTCCGTTTTTCTATTGGATTGAACGACTCCCTTGAACGTGCCTTCGCTGAAACCGTGGCCTGACTTTGCCCTGCCATAGCTCAGCGACCTTACAAGGTGCATCTAAATTTTTTATGCCAGACAATCTGCTATTTAATTATCTATAGCTTTGCAAAATTTGGCGTGGCTACGTTTTGCCACTCAGAAACCGTTTTGAGAAAACCCTCGGGGGGGTTTGAGAAAACCCTCGGGGGGGTTTGAGAAAACCCTCGGGGGGGGTCAATTTGACCCCCGCCCGAGTGCTTGTTAAACCGAAGCGTAAAGATAAGACTTCTGGCAAAAAAGAAACAATACGAACCATTAGAACGTTCTGCATTTTAGCATACTTAACCCTAACATGGTTTTACTTGGTCCAATCCCTAAAATGTTTAGAAACGAAAAGTATATAAGTAGCTCTTTTCGTATTATACGAATGACACCTTTGATACCATCCAGTCACATAACATTTTCAGTCAAGTGCACTGCAAAACGTGAGCGGCATTGATCTATACGCGGTTACGGCAAGGCTAATTTGTTTCATATCTCATTTTACCTTTCAGAGGTAATTGATGCATTCAGAGCTACTTATTTTTTTCTTCCCTGTGGCCGCCGTTCTATATTGATTTTGCGCGCAGTAACTATTCATGACCAATCAATATTGGCTTCGCCTGCTTTCTGAGATAAAAGCATAGCCCAGCAATCTGTCACGGCTCTAGACGTCAATTAATGCAACACTTATGCAACGTCTTTTTCTCAGATTGAGTTCGTGCCTTTAGTGAATGTTCGTCTAAGATCAGCGAATCGTAGGATCAGCGAAGCGAATCGAATCAGTCTAGGATCACGAAACAAACACTGAGCAGTGTTTGTTGCTTGACTCTCGACCCTCCCCCTCCCTCCGATCGTTCCGGGTCAACGGTAAAGCACTGCGGAGAAAGCTCAGTGTTCCGCAATGGTCTGAACGGTCAGTCCTGCTCTCTGACATCACGTGACCTTAAACGTGACCCCTGCCACCGGCCGTTGGCAATCCCAGCCCCAGGGGGCAAATAACGATTGTCTGAAGCGACTTGAACCCACGTGGCCACGGGTGAATAAATCGGAATGCATTCGCTCTAACAGCTAAACTCATCATCATGAAAGGGCATCATCATGACTGGATTGTCAAATATATCATATCATGGTGTCGTTGTTGGCCATTTATCCATGATTCAAAAAGTGCCCATTTGAAGCTGCTGATTACTAATCTGCGGTTGGTAATAGAGAATTGGTGATTGGTGAAACTCCAATCTGAAGAAGTAAAGGTAAAACTCTGTCACTGAAGCTAGTGAGGCTTGAAACTTGTAGACTGGCTCGTGAGGAGAAATACGCTATTAAACTGGCATTTGTTCGTCGTGGCAGATGCCCCAAGGACGTTTGGGCGGAAGCGATCCAGCTGTATGTAATTGGCGTGGCAAGCTTATCGTTTCGTAATCATACGTTGCTTTTGTTTTGTTTTAACATTGATCCTGGTCCAGCAGTTTGATAAAGCAAGTGTAGACAGAGCTAGCAAAGCAAAGCAAAGCAAACTTGGAAAAGCTGCAAATTAACGAATAGAATGGGGCATAACTGTTTTGAAAATAAGTTCCCTTTGCCCGACGCATGTCTTATCTTCCAAAACCCAAATGTTTCTCTTTGGTTGATCAGCAATACCAAAGACTGACGCGCGTTGGTTGATACATACATACATACATTTAGATACTTACATATAGTCACGCACACAGCCAGCTACCCACTCTCCATTCTGTGGGCGACGTCGCCTTTATCACGCCTGGCAACGTAAATTTCCCGCTCTTGCTGTCAGTTGTTCTGTCGCACATGTTAACATCGCTGCAACCAAAAAGTCTGTCATGTTTGGCTATAGTGATTTTTTGCATTGAAGATACAAGTGCACCCCGGGGCAGATCCAGGATCTGCGTCGCGGTGGAGGGGGTCGGCCGGTCCGAGAGGCGACATTTCTACCGGATTACAGCGGTGGCATAGTCCGGCATGGAAGAAGTCGCAAATTTGCCGCAACGTCAAACTGCCGGGAGGGCTGTCATGCTTTGGAGTCCTTAAGTGCCTCGTTTTCAGTTTCATGTTGTCATGATCGACGCTTAATAGGGTGCGCAAGGCGCCCTACTTACGTACCAGGCTCCTATTGGCTCCGACCTTGCATTTACCAGACATGAACAGTTGAGCGGCCCTACAGAATACGTTAGCATTATGAGACTTACGCCTGGCCTCCAATAGAGGTTCCTTGCAGGGGCGCAGGCAGGGGGGGGGGGCACAGGGGACACGTGCCGCACCTCCTCCTCTTAGGTCCCGGGGTGCCCTTTGGTCCTTTGGAGATTAAAAAAAAATGTTGAATTACGCCTCAATGATCGGTAGTGTTCCCTAATAAGTTTGCTTTAACTGGCACTCCCCTGCCTATGGTATGGCCAGGGAGACAAGGGGAGCAGTTCCACGACAAAACTTCCAACCCAGTTACCGCTAGCGACTAAACTTCTGCGACATGGTTTCTTATGGCTAAACTTCCACGACATGGATCTGACACAAATACTTCTCCGTAGCATTACTTGTACGCGGCAAAACTTCGGACGCAAAAACTTCTGTGCGACAATGCCTCTAAGGTGAGAACTTATCATGCATGAACTTGGATACGACAAAACCTCAACACAAAAACTTCTACCTGCCGTAACTTCTGCGCGACAAAGCCAAAAACGCAAAAAGCTCCACGCGACAAAACTGATAGCCCTCTTTACGCGACGTCACTTCTAACGTGAGCACTTGTGACGCATCAGCTTCTACGAAACACACTTATATTGCAAAACCTTCTCCACGTCACTTTTAATGCAAGCACTTTTAACGTATCAGCTGCTACGCGGAAATCCTTCTGACGTGAGAGATTCTAACGCAAGTATTAAATGGGCTGCCAATGGAGGTACGGGGAGTGTGTTCCAAAGTCCGAACCTTTGGCTTTCTCACTGACAGAGCGTCGTCACCACTTCTGCGAGGCTTGCGCTCTTTTTTGTACCGGAGAACGTTATCTAGCTGACATTACGGGACCTTGAATCTGTCCCTGTTCCGTAGATGGGGCCATGACCGGTAGGGGACGCCGTCTGGAGCCAGGGCCTCTGACCAGAGATCTTTCTGCATCACGGATTCTCCTAGTGATTCAAGAGGAATCACTTTGACTGAAATCCGAGGTCCATGGCTCTGTCGCTGTTCGGCTGGTGGGGTCCTGGCCGGCACGGAGCCCTGTTAAATGTCGTTGATCCCCGGTTGAGTATTGGGGATCCATGGCAGC